TATATATATATATATATATATATATATACATATATACACACACACACAAATCCCTGGAGCTCCGTGTGCTCCTTACAAATGACAGCGGACTCCTGACTTTTGAGTTTTTCTCTAGTCTAGTCTTGGAGCTGGAAGAGTATCTGTACTTGTACCGAGTACGGTACTTGGTAACTGAAAATCCCTAATGTAAATACTTACTGTAAATGTCCATAGCCTGGAAACAGGTTCACTTAAGCTAAACAGCTTAAATTAAAAAAAAAAAGAATTAAGAGAGCTGTCATTTTTTTTAGACATGCAGACTGCCCAGCAGTTGCCTTCATCCTGGCTTTATTACCTAGTGAGCCAAAGACCTGGAACAAGCATGAAACAGGAAGTCTGAACTCTTACCCTACATGCTTGTTTCAGGTCACTGACTTGATAATCTGCCCCGTCATTGATTTCATAGTCTGACTTCACAACTGCCCTGGAGCCTGTACCTTTAAAAATAAGGCAACTATTGAGTCTCCTATATTTCTGTCATCACTGCTAGTGCATCTAAAACCTTGGTTTTCAACTGGCGGGTCATGACCCAAAAGTGGGTCGCGACCCCGTTTTCAGTGGTTCGCCGCGTGCCTTCTACTTTTCTAGGTGAGTAACTCATCAGCCTCCCCCTAGCGCAGCACTGTCAGTTGTGCCAAGCAGCCATTCAAAATATGCTGCCCGGAACCGAGTGTCAGCTTGAGGGGGGTTGGGATTGGAGCTTTAGCCGTGAGTGAGCTCCATCAATACCTGCATTGCTTATACAGTTCCCTTGTGTCCTGTAGAGGTGCCTGGACCGGAGTGACATCACATTCTGGCTCCCAGCACCTCTACAGGGCGCCCAATGGAGCTGTACAATGCACATATAGAATGAGGTCCGTCACAGCACAGCAGCACACACTGGACTGAAGGCTGAGGATCCACTCCAGTTCTCGTAAGGTAAGTAAACTGGGTGGATCTTTAAAAAAAAAAAATGTTTTGGACTGTGTATGTGTGTGTTAGAAGGTCTCTGAGTGTTTTGAGGCCACGTTCATACTAGTACAGAGTGTTAATTGCATAGTACCGTGCCATTAACGCACTGTACCACACAATCCCACTACCGTGCATTGTGGTGTGGGAGGTGTGTTGTGTTGCCATTTATCCTTTTCCCCACCGAAACAAGCGGTACCTAATGTGTGCGTTTTATTGCAGCACGACTTGGGTCGTGACTTAATGACCGAGGACACATGTGGGTCCTGAGGTTACACAGGTTGAGAACCACTGATCTAAAATACACTGTGCTGCTGTTAACCCTATAATATTTTTACTGACTAAAAAGGATCACATGAAAGAAGCTGGTTGCAGAAAATCATTAGAAATGTGGTTTCAGAAGCAGGAGAGGCCTCTAAAGATATGCAATAATACACAAGAATCCATAAAATATGCGGTATTAAACACTGGAATTAGGGAGAAGACAAGAGTGCTGACAGCCGGAGTAGCAAGACGGAGGTAAGTATTACAGCCATTTTCTCTACCCTAAAGACTTAACAAGCACTTAACCCTTAAAGTGCAGGGGAGGGCACTGCAAGGGTATATTTTTTGTAATTCCCAGGTCAGGTATAAGGAATAGACAAGTTCAAGAAATCAGCACCTTGTACTTTCTGAAGCAAAAGTGAAAGCTCTGAATCACACTCCAATAATGTCTGCTTCAAAGCTTGGATATTCCCGGTTGTTTTGAAATCCTGAAAGCAAAAATACAAAATGACATGTAGCATAATCCAAAACAATACAAAGTGTACATAGTATTTACACTGGGGGGCACAATCACTGAGCAATAGAACATTAATCAAATATCACAATGATTTAGATGTATAAAATGGGTGTTTTTGCATCATTACCATGTTAAGTAACTACCGTACCTTCCATCTCTTAACAACTGCATTATTCTCCTGAATCCACAGTGTAACAAGGCTTTCATCCTCAGGGATTTCCATCTCACACTCCACCTCCATCTTTCATCCTCAAGTCAGGCGACCATCAAGAATTCAATTCACCTGGGCCAAACTGTTCAAGTAATTCCTACCTGTAAAGTCAGGAAAAGTGGTATTAGCTTCATTTCATATTTCTAGTCATCAGTCCTATGATCTTCAGTGCACCAAAACATAGTAAAATAGGATTTTTGTACTTACCGAAAAATCCCTTTCTTGGCGTCCATTGAAGGGCACAGGAATTAAGATATTGCCAGTTTAAACTGCTGCCTACAAAAGAACTGGACATTGGCAAACAAAACAAAAAAACTGTAGGTCATCCCAGGATAACCACTCCACGAGCATGCCTCAGTTTGTAGAAAGCAGTACCAAGAGCATGATCATTAACACATAGGGGTAAGGGCCTGTGCCCCTCAATGGACTCCATGAAAATAATTTTACGGTAAGTATAAATTTCTTATTTATGGTGTAGTGCGCCCCCCCTCCCTGCCAGACACCTTGGGGGACAGGTGTCAGTGGGAAGTGGGGAAGGACACCGGCGAACATTCATGCTGAATGGGGCCAGAAGCGACACTGATTGCATCACTTCCGGCCCCTCAGCTGCAGAATCCGGGCAAGAAGCTATTGGAGAGCAATCTGCACTGCAATAGCTTCTTTTAGTAGAAAAGTGACACTAAGGTCTAATAGACCCTTAATGTCACCTTAAAGAGTACCTGTATGCTATCACTTAGGGGGCTTGTGAGCCCCACTATGTGGTAGCAATTATGTAAAAAATAATTAATAAATGTAAGTCCCAGCACGCGTGCGTGTATTAACGTAAATATGCATCGAGTGCGCCTACAAACTAAAACATTGATCGCACTACACGTTAGGGTTTCGCTGCACACAGCAGAGTAAGATCAATAATTCTAGGGCCAATAATCACAGATATATCTAAGCTGATGACCTGTACAGGCTTTTAAAGCATTGCTTATGGACAATATGGGGTACCATATTTTTTCGCTATCTCATTGGCGCACGCAATGTTTAACCTTAATGCTGGATTAAAAAAAAAAAATGTAACTTTTTTTTTCAAATAAACAGCCTACAGATGTGCCAATTCACAGGCAAATTTAGGGCATTCCCCTAGCACAGGGGTGGGCAATTGCGCAGTGGGGGGCAGCACAGTAGCTCCGTATCCAGCGGCCGGCGGGCCCCCAGTCTCTGCTCCGGGAGTGTCGGTTCATCTGACATTCCCAGCCAGTGGCGTAGCGAGGGGGCCGTCACCGTAGCTCCCGGTCAGCTCGCCCGCCCGCATCAGCCCCCCGGCTCT